AGATGTATACACCCATTATCCTCATCTTCACGACGCCAAACATAATCTCACTATTTTCTCATTCTTCCTTTCTCTCTTTTAGTGCTTCATATTTCTTTTGACTGAATTTTATTTTCTTCATCTTCCATTTTATTGCTTTTTTACTTGATGTACTGATCTGAGATGAAGTGTGGCAAGTTGGACCGTTATACAGTGATGACTAGTTCTATGTTGAGTTGGATGGATTTGATGTTAACTGACATTGTCTAGTATTACTTACTACCTGAATCGAAGTAGTTTAAGTGTCAAGTGATCATTTCACTTCTTTTCGGTTAAGGTCAGCGGTTTCAGTCCAGAGAATCGAATTGCCCAAATGCTTTTTTTTGAATTGCTGAGAAAGTTTTACTGGTACCAAATGTTTTGCTTATTACAGCGGTATGTTATATATAATAATAAACTACAGTACTGGTTCTCCTTTCAAAGGGATTTTCAACACATTTACTGGGATTATTAGCTTGAATGTAATAAATATGACCTGCTTATTGACTTTCTTTTAAAATTCTTTATTCAATCATGTGCATATAAGACGATGGTTAGCGCGGATTTATTGTTTACCTTATTGCATTGATCATAGCATAGACACATGATATATACTATTATACTATTTTCCCTTAAATGTCATAAAAATTATTCTTCCTATATATTTTTATTGTTTGTTATAAATTATCAGAATATTACCAAATGGAGAAAAAAATAGATACAAAGTTGAATACACTCCTCATCAAATAATCTTTTCATCTTTCAAGGAGACACTGAGATCTTATAAAAACAGTGATACTGTCTTCACTGATATAAATAGGTTAGATGAGTTTGAATGGTTGGAAATGTATCAGTTTTTTTAAGATTGAAGATATGTATCTTACTGATTAGTGTAGATAAGCATAACACTTAAGTTCTGAAGATCCTGTTGACTGTCTCAAACAATTGGACATTTAATTATTTCCAAGTATTAATGATGGATTATGGCTAGCAGTGGAATCCAGGATGCGCATTTCGTTTTATTTCGGACTCACCAGTCACCTGGATATACCTGATTCCCAGTGGGTGATGTTGTTCCCACCGGGATACGGACTTAGGAGCGATCGCTTCAAATACCAGCGCGTTATCGACTACACCACCGAGCCACGGTAGCCACTTCTTATGCGACGAGTATAGTTTTTAGTATATAATTGTTTTTATATCATACCGTCGTTGATTGGATCGAATTGATCGGTCTCTGTTGGGATATGGGCTCCTGTGTGGATGCCTCGATATTGCCTGCCTTCTAATTATATTAATGATGGATCGTGGCTGGCAGTGAAATCCAGGATGCGCATTTCGTTTTATTTCGGACTCACCAGTCACCTGGATATATCTGATTCCCAGTGAGTGATGTTGTTCCACCGGGATACGGACTTGGGAGCGATCGCTTCAAACACCAGCGCGTTATCGACTACACCACCGAGCCACGGTAGCCACTTCTTATGCGACGAGTATAGTTTTTAGTATATAATTGTTTTTATATCATACCGTCGTTGATTGGATCGAATTGATCGGTCTCCGTTGGGATATGGGCTCCTGTGTGGATGCCTCGATATTACCTGCCTCCTAATTATATTAATGATGGATCGTTGCTAGCAGTGAAATCCAGGATGCGCATTTCGTCCTATTTGGGACTTGTCAGCTGGCAATATCGAGGCATCCACACAACAGCCCATATGCCAATAGAGACCGATCAATTCGGTCCAATCAACGACGGTATCATATAAAAACAATCATACTAATTTCCAAGCATTGTTCACTGCATTCATGTGAAATTCTCTTGATAAAATTTCTAATTGAAATATGCCTCTGTATGATGTGTGGAACTTATTAATTGGGTTTTTTTCATGACTATAAAGAATTTTATTTCCGTGAAGTGTTCAGTGCTTTGGAAAGAAGTGCGACGAATTACTAATCTTTTTTTTAGGGTACATTTGCTTCTTATCTGCACGTAATGTCCTAATAACTGATTTGAATTGTTCTAGACCACTTATAGTCCACCAGCTGTGCTGGCTAGCTAGACCAAGGTAACTTAAGTAATGGACGGCTATTTTGCTCTTTTGGGACCGAGTTCATCAATGGTGTACCCGGTTAAATTCATCTTGAAGAGCCTAATTGTTCAAACAAACCGAATTCTAGCTAACTACTTGAGACGATTGGTCATGTCTACAATCATTAAGTGTTTGTATTTTGGCTTTATGAAGTGAATTAATCTGGGTACACTGCTGATGAGCTCGATCTCAAACGAACAACATGGCCGTCAAGTGTTTAAATCATCTTCATTTGCCTAGTAAGCACTACTGATCGATGTGACTGGCCTAAACGTACTCATCTCAGTCAGTAGTATATTACGTGCGTTTTTATGCTGTAAATCTTAAGACCTGTTACGGTACCAAAAAGATCTGAATATTTTGGTTTTCATAGGAAACTATAATGAGATTTCTCACCACAAGCTGCCTATTTTTACAAACATCTAGTAAGCTGCTCATCTTATGTTTTGTGACTTACATTTCATTATCAGTTTGACTATCTAAGGTAGCCAGGGTTTGGTAGACTTTTATTGATCTATTGATAAGTTAATTTAGCAATAAATATTGGGTGGTAATTAAAGAGGGGAAAATGTAGTCAGCAGTTGGATGTCGTAGTTCAGTTGGTAGGACATCGGACGAGAAACCCTGTGGTCGCTGGTTCGAATCCAGTCGCGGTCCGAATATTTATTTCACTCTCAATCATCACCTAGTATCAGTACTAGTATGCCAAAACACGGCTATCTCATATGGTCAAAATGAAAATCAATATGATGCTCTTCCCCCCCCCCCCCCCCCATCTAATCCAGTTACATTTGGATTGGGATGACAAGTCCTGAATAGGCAGCCGGTGTTAATACGACCAGGCGGTAGTAAGGCGTCATGAATTCACATAGTAGTCGTGCAGACCACATGATGATTGAAGTGAAATAAAAATCTGGTCAGCAGTTGAGCCTCGTAGCTGAGTTAGTAAAGCATCGGACCGGAAACCAGGTGGTCGCTGGTTCGAATCCGGCCTTGGTCGAAATTTTCCTTTAACCTTCAATCATCACCCAGTATAAAGTAGAAATGAAAATCTGGGCCAATGCGGGATTCAAGCCAGTCACCACTAGGTTTCCTGCCCTGTGATCTACCAAGCTGATCTTTGCTGTTGTTTTCACCATACCATGAAAATATCCTTGTTAGATTGTTCAGTTTTACCTTAGGAACTGATGTTCCATTTTTATTTCCGTTCTGTAAAGCTTCTAAGCCTCCTGAAATAATTTCTTGACATGAAGATTTTAATATAGGAATAAGGTCTAGCTAGATCTAGAACAGAGTATAGAATGGCAGTCAACACAATTCTACCTCAACTTCATCCACTTTGAAAAGGCCTTCGACAGCGTCGACCCACAAGTAATTTCACAGGCAGTTGCTTCAACACTACGGAATACCACAAACTTTTATCAACCTCATTCAACAACTATATGAAGACGCCACATGCCAAGTGATTCACAATTGGAAGCTCAGTGATGCTTTTGAAGTGAAGTGAAGACAAGAGACAGGAGTGAAACAAGGCTGTCCACTATCACCCATGATATTCATGATTGTAGTGGACTGGATGATGCAACAGACCGTGAGGAGCGAGAAGAGTGGGATACGCTGAACCAGAGAAAAGACTCCAGAGGACTTGGATTTCGCCGATGACTTGTGTCTAATGTCGCACAAAGTCGAAGATCTACAGGTGAAAACTAACAAGTTGACAGAAGAGGCTAGGCGAGGCAGCGAAGGAAGACGGGACTTCAAGTGGACGTAGAGAAGACAGAGGTGATGATGGTACCCAACCAACGCCACCATCAACAATAACAAGCTCCATTCAGCATCAACGGGAGAAACTTAAAGGAAGTAGCCTCCTTCACTTGTCTAGGCAATGCAGCATCATTTCAACTACAGGTGATTGCACAGGCAGAGACGAGGATGTCAAAGTCAGGATCGGAAAAGCAAGACAGGCGTTCATTAACCTGAAACCCGTGTGGAAGTCTTCTGCACTACACTCCACTCAGCACAAAGCGTGAACAACTTTCAGATTTTCAACACCAATTTCAGTTAAGTCAGTGCTTCTGTATGGTTGAGAGACTTGGCGGCGCGTTACGAAAGGCATTTCCAACAAACTATATATATTCATCAACAACTGTCTACTATGGCTCCATGCAGACACTGAAGCTGAGATGGCCAAAAGGAATAAACAACAAAAAACTCACCGGGGCTGGCAACGAACCAGCCAACAACCTATCGCTCAACAAATATGCAGTGGAAGGAAGTGGAGATGGATTGAGCATGCACTGAGGAAACCATTCAGGGACATGACATGCCAGGCTCTTGAGTGGAACCCAGATGTGAAACGGCAAGTTGGGCGTCCAAGGTGAAGGTGAAAAGGAGGGGGATGATGTGAGGAGGAAATGAGAGCTTGTGAGCTGTCTTAGATCCAGGTTAAAAAGATTTCAGAGAACAGAGCGCACTGGAGATGTTCTACTAAAGCCTTATGTTCCACTAAGAACCCAAGGTACAAATAATAATAATAGATCTGAGCAATTATTATGTAGATTTGTTGGGTATCATTTGAAATACTCATACTTTCCTTGTGATATTGGCTCATATTGTTCAGCCTTGAACTTAACTCACTAGTGCGTCAACCAGTAGTGGCTAAGCATATGAAATGATTTTATAACAAAACATTCATTACACTTAGTCGAATCAATGACATAGTAATTGCTATATGCATTATCTATCATATAAGATGATTTGTTCACGTAGTTAGACTTTTGTATAAGTAGATAATGAAGTATAACTATAACAGTGTTTCATTAACATATACAACTATTCATTTTTTGACAAATATATTACATAATCATTTCTGTTTTAAATTAATTTCAGCGTTCAATGTATCATATTAATCTGAATGATTCACAAATATCTCATTCATCACATCATATCCAATCATCACCTCATCATCATCATCATCTACCGGATATATCAAATTTCAATAAATCATGGAAACATATAGAACCAAGCTTGAATTTTGAATATCAAACATTGAATTCATTGAATAATATTAGTCAGTCTTCTTCACAAGAAAATATATCAAATGATCATGTAAAAAGTAATAATTATTCTAAATTTATCAATGATAACCTTATTTTTACTCATAATAAATTTAATCAAAATCTATATGATATTAAAAATCAATCATCTTCAATTATTCCTATAGTTAAACCACGTCAAAAACGTTTAAAACAACTTAAATCAAATTCAATACATGATTTAAATGAAAATATATTCAGTAAAACAAATAATGGAAGTTATTTCAATGATCAATTTCTTATTGCAGAAGATAATATTCAAACTAATCCTTTAAATGATGATGATGATGATGAGGTTAATAATAAACAATGGGCTTTATTAAATCGTTTACCGATTACAATGGAAGTTATTATTGATAAAAGTTCTAAAGGATTCGGATTTAGTATTGCTGGTGGACATGATAACAAATTAGATCCAAATAATGATGATAATAATGATAGTGATATTTATGTGACACGTGTTAATCCAGGTGGTCCTGCAGATCATCAATCTGGTTTACAGTGAGTTGAATCAATGTATATCCTTCATTATTTATCTTCTAACATATTATTTGTCCCTTGGGTTTCCAGTGGAACATAGGGCCTCAGTAGCACGTCTCCAGTGAACTCTGTTCTCTGAAATCTGTTGAACCTGGATGGCTCCACGACAGACCACAAACTCTCATTTCCTCCTCACACGTTCTCTTCCATATCACCCTCACCACGGACGCCCAACTCCTCCTTTCCCATCACGGTTCCACTGGATGACCTCGCATGGCCTGGCCCGGCCTGGCACATGATGTCCCCCAATGGTCTTCTCAGTGCATGCCCAATCCCATCTATCTCCACTTCCTTCCACTGCATATTTGTTCAGCTATAGCTTCTCGGTTGATTCGTTGCCAGGACAGCCACAATCAGTTCCTTGTTGCTTATTCTCACCATTCTGGCCATCTGATCTTCAGTGTCAGTAACGAGCCAGCTTAGACAGCAGTTGTTGATGAATGTCTGTAGCTTGTTGGAAATGCTCTTCGTAACGCGCTGCCAAGTCTCTCAACCATACAGAAGCACTGACTTGATTGGCATTGGTGTTGAAAATCCACATCTTGTTCCACATGCTGAATACACAAGATCTCCACACTGGTTTCAGGCTAATGAACACTTGTCTTGCTGCCTTTCCGATCCTGACTTTGACGTCGTCGTCTGTGCCTGTACAATCACCTGTAGTTGAAACGATGCTGCCTAGATAGGTGAAGGATGCTACTTGCTGTAAGTTTCTCTCGTTGATGGTGATTGGAGCTTGTTATTGCTGTTGTTGTTGATTGAGTATCTTCATCACCTCTGTCTTCTCTATATTCACTTGAATTCTAACACATTAATATGCGTCTAAACTACAGACATTCATCAACAACTGCTTACGCTCGCTGCTGAAGATCAGATAGCCAGAAAAAATAAGCAACAAGGAACTCTGGGAACGAACCAACCAAGAACCTATCACCCAACAAATATTCAGGAGGAAGTGGAGATGGATTGAAGTGGCATGCACTGAGGAGGCCGGCTGGGGACATCACGCGTCAGGCCAGTTGCTCGAGTGGAATCCCCATGGGAAGCGACGAGTTGGACGTCCGAGGGTGACATGGGAGAGGTCGTGCGAGGAGGAAATGAGAGGTTGTGGGCTGTCGTGGGACCAGGTTCAAAAGATCTCAGAGAACAGAGGTCACTGGAGGCGTGCTACTGAAGCCCTATGTTCCACTAGGAACCCAAGGGACTAGTAATAATCATAAAATAATAATAATATGCGTCTAATTATATACTATTACTATTCACCGATAGAATTTCTTTATATATATATATATATATATATATATATATATATATATAAATATATATATAGTAGTGAATTCCACAACAACCTTGAAACAACCTGGAGTTTCATACACTAGGTATTTAGCCATACATATTCTATGAGGCACATTTATCTTGAATGAAGGTAATCTGATTGACTTTGGGTTTTTTTTATTAGTAGTTGATTCCAATGCAAATGTAGGATATTCCAAGCATTCTACGTGATAAACCATAGATATTTCACATACGTTTCACATTTGAGAAAGCTTTACTAATCACTAAATATGCATCTCAAGCTACCAAGCAATGTAAATATTGATAAATAATTCATTCATTGGTTTTATTTGTCATTGTGTCCAGATATCGGATAATTTTCAATTGATGCTTTGTTGTTAAAGCTTCTAAGTTATTCTGTCTTTTAAAAAAATTAGGCATTTTCATCCTAAGTTAAGGGTTTCTTAAATATCAGTTACATTGATAATTTAGTTGGTTGTGGCTGACAGAAGAATCCAGGACACGGGCTTCATCCTATTTGGGACTCGTCAACTGGATTTACCTGGACCCCAGTGCGGAGTGATGTTTTTCCCACGAAGACTGAACCTTCTCACCCATCGTTTCAAACGTCAAGGCGTTATCCTCTATGCCACTGAGGAACTAATGTACAAGAAGTGGCTGTCGTTCCTCCGTGGCGTAATGGATAGCACCTTAGCGTTTGAAGCGATGGATACGAAGTTCGAGTTTCAATGCGAAAAACATCACTCCGCACTGGGGTGCGGGTGCATCCAGCTGACGAGTCCTAGATGGAATGAAACGCGCGTCCTGGATTCCTCTGCTAGCTGCAACCAACTAAATTACCAAAATTGACATTCAGGGAATATCGAAGCATCCGCATAGGAGTCCATATACCAATAGAAGTCGAACAATTTGATGCAATAAAACAACGGAGAATTACAAATATATCGATAAATAGTAGAATCAGTTGCATTGTTAGATGTCGGAAGTTAATCGGCAGTGTAATCCACTTGACCGAAGTTTTTCGCTTTCTGGTACTCCACGCTCAGTCAGTCAAAGCTAACATGTGAACTAGTATCTCTGGGTCACTATCTAAGTTGACACGGCTAACACCAATACATCAAATACACCGAAGTGAGAGACTAAGAAATGAAAAGAAAATTAAAATGACCGTAAAACTTGCGCACTATAGTATCTTGTAATTCCATATTAGATTTCATGATGGATCATGGCTAGCAGTGGAATCCAGCATGCTCATTTCGTCCTATTTTGGACTCGATCAATTCGATCCAATCAACGACGGTATGGTATAAAAACAATTATACTAAAACTATACCCGTTGCACAAGAAGTGGCTACCGTGGCTCGGTGGTGTAGTGGATAACGCCCTGGCGTTTGAAGCGATTGCTCCTAAGTCCGAATCCTGGTGGGAACAACATCACTCACTGGGAATCAGGTATATCCAGGTGACTGATGAGTCCGAAATAAAACGAAATGCGCATCCTGAATTTCACTGCCAGCCACGGTCCATCCTTAATATAATCAGAAGGCAGGCAATATCAAGGCATCCACACAGGAGCCCATATGCCAACAGAGACCGATCAATTCGATCGAATCAACGACGGTATCATATAAAAACAATTATACCATATTAGATTTGTTTATTTCATAAACACTCACTGACACTGACAAAATCAACGTAGAACCTTGCACATCGGTTCAAGTTTTCACAGTTCACTGTAGTATACAAAGAACAAGGTGGTTAGAAAATGACTAACATCAAAGCAGACAAAGTTGTGCGAAAGAATAAACAATCTGAAGTTAACGGTTAGTGCAAATATTCAAGCTTTAGAAGTTGTCAAGGAGTTAATATATCTGGGCAGCCATTGTGACCGATTTTCAGCCATGTCACCAAGAGTCAGTTCTCATCCTCTGACTATTTTTTGTCTCGGAGACCACAACTGGCCAGTCTACATCTCTCAACACAACTCAGTACAACAATAAGAGACTTCATCAACTGGTGACAGATTCTAGAGAGTGGGCCATCCTGAACCCTCTTTTAGGCTAATTCAACTTCCTATTGAATGGCACGTCGAGGTAGGTGGTGACTAGGCATGCGCATTACATTTTGAAGCCGTCTCATTCGAATAAGGTTCATAACCTCATCAATCGACCCGTACCATTCACCTGACTTTTAAAAATTGCTCACACCATGATTTCATGCAACACAAGCAATCCTATGAAGACAGGGATCATAGAAAATCTCTTACCCTTTCATGAATTCTCCTTTTTTAGCCATGTCTCACAACTGTATAGTAGGATATGACGGCATGTAGCGTAGTTTATTTGTCAGTAACCACACCGTTCAGGCTGGTGCAACTCTCAAACTAAGTGAAGTGGTCGACACATTCCACTACTTACTTCGTTGCTTCTCACTAAACTGGGATTACTTTCAGCACACCAGTTGTGGAACATCATTTAACTTTTGGTTGGTGCCAGCAAAACACGTGCTGCACATACTCAGACTTCTGCTCAACGCGTTCAGTTAACCGTGCCTGTATTTTGTCAGTGTCTTCACCTAGAAGGATAATATCATCTGTATACTTCAAGTCAACAAGACGACTTCCAGGGAGTAGGTTGATCCTTGATGATGACAACTCTCTGCAAGCTGTTACACGGCTGCATGAGTCTGAACAGAGAGTTTTGTGTGAGTAGGATTATTTGGAGTCATGTATAATATCCTCCGAATTCCACTCATCAGTAATTGATTGTTTAATGCATAAATTCTGTAAAACAAATATAGCGGTCAACTACTGGGATTCCTGTTTATAGTTGTTTTCATAAAGAGCAGTTGTTTATTTCTCAGTTAACCACTGTAGTTAACGTTCTTTTTCAATAAATTAAGATTTATTATTGACTAGAGTATGCTAAGGATTTTATTCACTGATTCATCTGTTTGAATTAATGACTTAGTTTTAAGGACTGTACTTAATTATTCTTACAGCAGGATATAAACTTAATTAGTTACTGGTGTGTTATCTATCCAATTCTAAGTTCTAATCATTCCTATTGATCACTTTGCGATGTGGCCACCAAGCCAGCAAACTCAGCAGTACAATGTACATTGAAGGTGATTATCCGGTAGCCTTTCTCAGCCTAGGTTTCGTGTTTGTTGGCAGCTGTCGCCAAGGTATATCTCAAACCTCGACGATATAGGTATCCCTTTAGTTATCTCTTGGCACTGCAGTTCAGTTTATGATCATAATGCACAGTGATCAATAAAATTCAGTCATCACTCACTACTCGACAATATGAAATCGGCAGCTCTTCTATGACCAATCAGTGTCCCTAATACATTTCTTTTGGAGATCAGTGATGACCCGAGTAGCTCAGTAGTAATGTCTTCAACTGCTGCATAACAGCAGGACATCAGTTCCCTCAAAGCTGTTGATATACCTTGCTGATAACGGTCAACTAGCACCAAATCTAGGTTTAACAGAGTTTCCTTGTAATTACCTTCTGGTTAGTCATTAGTAATCTTGCATTGTAGGAAAATTGTCTGCTTACTACCTAACTATTGTGTGAGTTTAAAAATATGGGGAAATATTGAACGGATAAATGGAAATAGATAGAATAGTATTGAAGTATAGACTGCTAGTGTTCTGTACT